GGGGAACGCTCCGTCCCAAGGCATGTCCCTGTCTCTCTCCTCCCTAATGTGCCTCCATGCTTAAGTGGAAGGTATTTCTGTTTTCTTTGTGTGTTTTCCCCTCGGCCGGGGGCGGGGGCGGCGGCCGGGCCGGGGAGGCGGCGGCCGGTGGGGCGAGGGATGCTCCCGGCGCAGGTGCGTGGGGGGCCGGGGACCGGTGTGCGCCGGGCTCGGCAAGGGGACCCGGGCGACAGGAGTCCTGGCACCGGAGAGGGGGCCCGGGATTGGCGAGGCTGGAGGTCGGGTGGGGAGACCTTCGCGACGCGCGGGGGAAGGGACCCGAGGGGTTAACACTTAAAGGGGTCTTGACGGGGAGGGGGGGCAACGAGGAAGGGGCATGGATGGTGAGGAGAGTGGGGGATGGGAGTGGCCCATCCGAGGTGGAGGAAGAGGATGCAGGGGAGCAAGAAGGGAATGGAGAAGTGTGTGTTGGGGGGAGGCGCGGCAAAGTCCTCTCTCTCCCCCAGTCCCAGAATGGGGTGCATGCACTTGGAAGGTGGTGGTAGGCCCTTTGCACCAGCCCCCCGGGAAGGAAGGGGATGAGTGCATCTGGGGTTGGCTGTGTTGCCAGGATACAAGCCTGTATTCTCAGCCTCACCCCCCCACCCCCACCTCCATTCTCGCTTCCCCTCGAGGCCCCAGCCCAGGAGACCTCGGAGCCTAGGCAGCAGTTTAGAATCTGGGGACCTGCTCCCCGCTTTGCCGGTGGATAGCCAGGGACCCCCAGAAGGAGGGTCTGGGGGACGGCCTATTTGATTTTAAGCCCTCCTTCTGCTGAGGCCAGAGGGCAAGGGAGGGCGCCCCCAGCTGGGGAAAGCATCTAGGGTGAGTGAGGAGGTAGGGACGACCGAGGTTCAGAGGGCGGGGCCGGGGAGGGGACGCGGCTTGGCCCCCCCTCCCCTCCCACGCACCCCCCTGCTACGTCAGAAGCTCCCGGGCCAGCTCCTAGTCTTGTCGGTGGGGGCAGCAGGATGCTGGTGGAAGCAGAGGGGGCCGACCGGGTGCCTCCGAAGCTTGGCTGGCAGGGCCCGCGGGGCGTGTGCCGCTGCTCGCGCGAGCCCCCCCGCCCCACGCCTCCTCATGCAGCCCTGGCAGTGCCTCCGGCGCTTTGCCCTGGCCTGGTGGGAGAGGACAGCGGAGGGCCGCGCCCGATCTCCCAGGGAGGAGGCTGGACCAAGGGATCCTGGGGGACGAGGGGAGCCAGGTGAGCCGGAACAGGGACCGTGCAAGGAGGGAGGCCTGGGCTGTCATTCCCTCTCCCAATTACTGTGGAGCTAGAAGGTCCCACAACCCCCAACTTTAAAGGGAGGGTCCCCCCTTGAGCTGAAACCTTTCAGAAGATGTTGGAGCTACTGTTGTTTGCCGGGAAGGGGCAATGGATGAGGGCTGACAATGGGGGTAGCTAAGCAGACTTCAGTTTGTGGTTCAGCGTCCTGGCCTCAGGCTGGGGTTTGAGCGCCTTGCAGGGAGTAGCATACTTCTTCCCTACTCAGGATATCTTAGTCTCGGTGACCTTGAGCCGACTGATGTGCTGTCTTACTCTGTGCCTCAGTTTCTCTCTTCTTGTCCCTGATTCTTCTGCTGGTCTTAAAAAAAATACGATGATGCATTTGATGTAGACAGCCACTGTGAAGATGTGGGGTTCTCTCATCATTTGGTGGCAGCTGTGATGTGGTGATTTCTGGCACGGTTGTGTGTATATATGTGGGGGTCAGTTATGGTTTCAGTGCAGGTTTTTGCCAGTTGTGGAGGGTGCTGTAGCCACTATGGGTGGGAGTCAGGACCTGGCATTCACACAGGCAGAGGGACGCGGGCAAGCTGAGACTTAGAGGGTGGGTGGGTAGAAGCAAGGGCCACAGATGAGCACCCTGGACATAGGGGAGTGGGTTCCAAGATTGAGAACCCCCCTCCACCCAGACTGCCTGGCACCCAGGCACCATTGGCAGCGAGTGCAAAGGCTTTGCCCTGGCTTCCTGCCACTCCGCCCAGGGGACAAGAGGGTCTTTGTCCAGCCCCCTACCCAGCCCCCTCCCTGTTCTTTCCTCCCCTACCATGATGGCTGGTTCTCCGTGATGATCCCTGGGGCTGGTGCCCCTTGTTGTTCCCACTGTTGTGCTCTGGGGACATGGAAGAAGCAACGCTGGTCCTCAGGCAGAGCTGGTGGAGGCGGGGAACAAGTCCCCTGGATGAACAAGTCCACCAGGCTTCGGCCTCTGCCCTCTGCTTGCCACCTAGTCTCCTGTGGCTGTCCGGGGTCTTCAGGGCCTGATTCCTGCGGGGTTCCAGGTTCCCTAAAGATGTCCGGGAGCGGGATCGGGTACCGGGATGTTGAGCCTCGGATGCGCGGTCTCTCCCTCTGGCCAGTGCCCCACCCTGGGAAAAGGGTTTAATTAGAACCATTGATTCCTTCTTTGGCTGCGGACATTGATCTCAACCATGTGGTCAGAGCTGGGGTGTGGTGAGGGGGGGCGCTTGGCTGCTGTCCGCACAGTGCCTTGGCATTCTCTGACGACACCCAAGCTTCGGAGAGGGGGGGCTGGGCTCTTTGAAGCGCCAGTTCTGCTTTGACCCTACCCTCACCTCAGGCTAGGTCTTGGGGAAAGGAGGAAGATGGGGATGAGGATTTGAACCAAGGGAGCCTGTTTGGGAGTCCAGAAAGTACAGTTTGTGGTGTGTCTGTGAGTAGTGGTCCTGAGGTTCAGGAATGGAGGCCCAGCTGTACTGGGAGGGGTCCTGAGAAGGAGAGTCAGGAGACAACTGAGGTGCGCTGTGGGTGTGGAGCAGGCAGAGATCTGGGGAGGATCTAGGCTTGCAGTAGAGAAAGAGTTCTCTTTCGAGGAATCCCAAGCAAGCACTTATCTTCTCCAAGCCCTGGCTAAGAAATTGGATTTCTTCCTTGTTTGTGTCGTCAAGACCCAGAGAGGGACAAAAACTGCCTCAGAGGCCCAGCAGCCTTGGGTCTGGCCCTTGTACCTGGCTTCCTGGCAGAGAGGCCCCTGCCTAGGCACAGGGAGTGGAGGACCAGGCTCTTGGCAGCCTCCTATCTGGCCTCTGGGCTTGGGGGGTGGGGGACAGCTTGTGCCCCCCAAACCCTGTGAGCCTGCCATGGGCAGGCTGGTGCAGGTGCAGGCTTCAATGAGCCACTCAGATGCTCTTTGAAGAATTCCTTTTTGGCTTCCTAGGGCCCATTGGAGCAAAGATAATAAAAATCTGGCCGTCAGCGGGTTTGAGGGCTGCTCTTGCTTCCCCTTCTTTCATTCCTAGCTCTGAAAAGCTGAGATGAAGGCTTTGGATTTGGCTGGGAAGCTGTGTGCTCGCTAGCCTGCCTTGTCTGCCCCGAGGGGCAGGGGAGGAGCAGAGGAGGAAGGACTGATTTCCTGGTGGAGGGGAGAGTTGATGGAAGGGGACAGAGGGAGAGGGACAAGGTCCCCAACTCCTGACAGGCAACCCACGGCCTTGATGTCGGGGCTCCTGTCCCCTATATCCACGCTCCAGCTTGTCCTTCTGCCTGGAGGCTGGGAGCCCTTCCTTCTGGGCTCCACTGCTCCATAGTCCCTGTGCCTCAGTCTCCCCCACTGTCCTCCTCCTGGTCTCCACTTTCTCTGCCCCCTCTCTTGCTCCACCTTCATGTGCTTTCTCTTTCCCTTGTCTCCTCCCTCTGCTCTTAGTCTCCCCTTTTCTGTCTACTCCCTCCCACCCCCAACTGTCTGTCATCCTTTCCGCATCCTGGTCCTGCTTTCTAGGACTGTCTGGAAGGTTGGGAAGCAGGGGGGTGGGGGTGGGGTGGGGTGCACAGCCACAGCAGTGGAAGGGATGGGCCTAGGCTGACTATGATGGCCTGTCAGGTGCATGGTTGTCGGTCTGGGTGGAAGGGCTGCTGAGCCCCAGGGTGCGTATGTGTGCAGTGAGGGCGCCTCCCTCCCGCAGCACAGTGGGCACCTTGCCCTGACATTGGGCTCCAGGCACGCTATCACCCTGCTGCCTTTTGCTGTGTGTATATATATACACTTGACTGCAGGGAACCGGAAACCAAAGCTTCCAGCCCCTGGGCCCCTCCACCTCTGATCACCTATTGCCCAGGCCTCACCACCACCCTTGACCCCTCATACCCACCACACTGTCTGCAGGCTCCGAGGCAGGAAGCAAGGGTGTCAGGAGCCTCTTTGCACCATCTTCCCCCTCCCCCATCTCTGACAGACCTTCCTGGAGCCCCGTGCCAGCCCTGTGCCCCCTTTCCACCTGGTGTACCCCCTAAGAAAGACAGAACTGTCGTGGAAAGAGCGCGGGACTGGGTAAAGCAACCTCTTTCTGTCCCTTCCTTAGTTCCCAGATGCCCACATGACCTTGAGCAAGTCCCTTCCTAGCGTGGGCCTCTTTCCTCACCTGTGAAATGAGGGGCATGTGCCGGATCATCTCCAAGGTCTCTTCTGACATTCCGACCATGTTGTGTCTCTCTTCTGGGTGATTTGCATATGCTTTGCATATATCAGTGGTGCCTGCTCGGAAGGGAGAGTGCCACCTGGGAGCACCAGAGTCCCACCCACCATTCCCGCTGCCCTTGCCCATTGGCCAGTGCTTTTGCTGCTTGAATTTCCGGGTGGAAGCTGAAGCCAGGAGCATTCCCAGGGAAGGTAGATCTAGCCCTTCTGTCCAGCCCTTGGGAGGGGGGGTTCCGGAGTGGGGGTGGAGAGGGGGTAGCCTAAGTGGAGGGGACCTGTCCAGACAGGAAGTGCAATAGAATGTGAAGTCACTGAAGTTGCCTGTGGCCACCCTGGGAGCTGTGAAGCCCCACTGGGACTAGCAGGGGAGCTTGGGGGTTTCCCTCCTCCCTTCCCAGAGCCTGGGCACCCTCTAGATCCCAGGAGATTAGCTAGACGCAGGAATTCTCCCTCTTGAGCTGCCAGCCACAGCCTGGAGTAAGTCCTGTTGACCTGTGCTCCTGCCCACTTCTGCTCAGCCTCCTGGACTCGGGCTCTGTGGCTTGGAACTTGGACCTCAGTGACCGTCACCAAGGACTTAGATGATGGCGTGTCTGGGTCTTGCCCGGTCACCATACCCAAGGTGAGGGTCTGTGCTCCCTGCAAGGGTTCCCAACATTTTCAGGGAGGCAGAGAGACCTGGCTGCCCTCTGTTCTGCCCCACTTGGGCAACCCCAGCCTGAGCATGCAGCGGCTGCCCCGGCCTCCTCCCCTGCTCTGGGCAGGTGCACAGGCCTGTGCTCCAGCCCAGCCTCTAGGCCTGCCTCTGTTCCTTTGTCTCTCCCATTGTGCCCATCACAGGAGGCAAGGGGTGGGGGAAAGGTGGGCAGCTTAGAGATGATAATGTGGGCTACTGAGTGAAAATTTCCAAAGACAGGAGCAAAACCGCCCTCTACTGCCAAGGAGGACTAGGCCTGAGGAAGTGCAGGGAGAGGGCGCCGGTAGTGGTTGTCCTAGATAGTGTCCCAGGGGCAGCTTCCTGTCTGATGTGGAATTGTTACGAAAGTAAGTGAAATAATAGATGAAAATGTCCGGCCTGGTGCCTGCCACATTATAAACACTCAGGAAAGTCTGGGAAGGAGCAGAGGTCTCTGAAGCCAGAGAAGAGCCTCCCCTCTCCCCGAAATGTTGGAATTTCAGTGGGGATGAATAGGAGGAACAATTCCTAGAAAAACTGGCTCCCACTCCCCACCCCATCCTCCAACGCCCCCCCCCCCCCATGGGCCCAGGGCCTGGCTGCCCAGGTCCTCCTCCACTGTGGTAGGCAAACAGAAGGGTTTGGAGGCTGGGAAACCTGTTCTCCCCCTCCCCCCATCTTTGCACAGGACAGCTTGAGAGGAAACAGGCCGTTGGTTGGGGGGGGAGGAGTGGAGGTTAGGTAGGAGGGAAAGCCTCTTCTGTGAGGGGTGGCGCTCCAAGGTGGGGAGATCTAGGGGTGAATGTGGTGAGCAGGAGTGATTAATGAATCTAGGGCTGCGACTGGCTGTCATGACCTTTGTGGTAACTTGAAGCTAGCCAGAGGTGATCCAGTTCAGCCTGGATGTTGTGGTCAGCCCAGTGCAGGGGGTGCTGGTGGGCGAGTCCAGAACCACTGAGGAGAAGGGGACAGGGAGGTCACCCTGACCCCCCAGGGTGGCAGGTGAAGCGCCTTATAAAGAGCAAGCCTTAGACTGTATCAGAGGCCTGCCTCCTCCACTGCTGGGTGACCTTCGGCCAGTTAGTTGCC